CCAAGAAGGCCAATGGTATGCTGACTTATATCAGAAACAGTGCTACCAGCAGGGGCAGGGTGGTGAGTATTTACATCTAGCTGCATCATAAGGTTTTACTTGTGGTCCTGTCTCAATAGAACTGCAAAGACCATGTTTATGATAAAAAAGAAAGGATGAAAGAGCTTCTGAATATCTTGCAGCAGCATTAAGATACAGGAAAAAGTAATGACTTCCAAGGATCCTGGCTGCTTCATCAACAGCTGTACTTAATTTACCCTTCTTTTAATTAGAAGTGCTTAAAAACCTCTCAGCTGACATTTCTAATTGACAACATACTCTGTGATTATAAACTGATTAAACTCTGTGATCTCATGACCCCTTGTCAACACTTCTATCCCCTTTTCAACGTAAATTAGTCAGAATTATTTCCTGTGCATCTATGTTGTGCTGTTTTATTCAGCTATATTTAACTCCTAAACTCAACTGCCCATTCATTATCTAGTCACCACAGCAGTTATTTCTGTCATGCTTCTATATTTACTGAAGCTGTAAGTCTGATTGAATTTGGCCTAAGAAAAAGCAAATAGTGATAGATTTCTGCTAGCAAACGCTTCCTGAAGTACAGTTCCACAGAAATACTGCCCACAGGCTTCCAGTTGCCTATCTGCTCAAATGTGGATACACTGGTACAGCTTGAAGTAGCTTAAAACCTCTCTCTTAAAACTATCCAGGACAGCTTCTCAGGCAGCTTTTTGAATGCCAGACTTCTTTGGCTAGCTTTCATCTTATTCAGAGAGGATTACATCTAGCCCCTTTAATGAACTTTCTACTGTGAGTATCATAGATTAGAATGCTTGAGGTGGAAAGAGACATCTACAGGCTGTCCATTTCAACAAGGTTAGTTAGAGCAAATTGCTCAGACCTGTGTCCAGTCAGACTTTGAGTTATCTTCAAAGGTGGACACTCCACACTCTCTGGTCAACCCATTGCAGAGTTCAGCCAAGCTCAAAATACAACAAAATATTCACATGTTTAAGTGGAATTTCTTTTATTATGTATCGTTACGTTCATCAGAGTCTGTTTCAGGTGGATTTCAGTGGATGCTGGTGGGTCTTAGTGCTTTTTGAGAAAAAAAAAGAGCATCAGGCCACTTGCCTGTTACTTCAAATCAGAAAAGGATAATGCCATATGCTTTTCTTCAAATATTTTGTTTTCACATCAGTGGAAGTTAAACAGAAGGCAGAATTTTCAAAAATCTCAATAAATGATGGCCCTAATTTTCAAAAGAAACCAAGTTTCACTGAAAAAAAAAAAGAAAGTATCAGCCTTTATATAGTGCAATGAAACTTTTACACTCCTGTTGTAATTTCATGCAAATTAATTTAGTATGTAGCTAATCTATAGCTCTTATTAATAAGTATGAATCTCCTACATCCTCAGTTCATAGAATACAGGCATTTAAATTGAGGAGCCATTGTCAGAAAGAAATGCTCTTTTCTAAATACAGATTGTAGAATTTCACTTTTGTAATGCAAATCTGAGACTAAGCAGATTGAAGGTCAGGTTCTGAATATAATTACGGATACTATAATTAAGTCGTGAAGAATATTGATTTAAATTCGTGGATGTTCATTTCTGATTTAGTTTTAAACTCCTCTGTAGGCCATATTCTTTAAAATTAATCTTTCATCCCTCAGAGATAATCCACAGAAAAATCAATTTGTAAAAAATAACAAATTTTAAGAGTTTTTTTCTTTCTCCCTTCTCTCTATTGCTGCCTTTTTTTTTTTTTTTTTTTTTTCCCTTTATACTGGTGTGCTTTCCCATGATGAGAGTTTCAGTTTAGGAAACAGAGTCCTACCAAGAAACATAAACAGTACGTGTATAATCAAGACTAATGGTAAATTGCAAAACACTTCAAATTTTTATAGTAAACTTATTCTTTATAACTACAAAAAAAAATCTTAAGAAATGGCAAGCTATATTTTAAGTCCTACTGCAGAAGAGAAGACAATGCACAATTTACATACCTCTTAATGAATTCTGAATTTGCCTATACTACATCTGCTTTCATTTCTACAAAGCTGCTATAAAGTAAGGGTTACAAATATTACATGGTAAAGGAATGCTTGAAACATATCTAGAACAAGGATTTTCAAATCCCAATCCTGTCCTTCTTTACTTTCCTCTACTTGCCTGCCAAAGAGTCCATCCAGATTGAGATGAGTGAATGCTCTATGCTACTTATTAGGTTCTTGGGTTTACATAAAAATCAGTTTACTTGAAACACAGCAGTAGAAAAGCTTCATCAGTTTAGCAAGTCTGTACTCTTGCAGTATCTAATAAATGCCAAAGTTAGCTTCTTGCAGGAGTTGTAGGGATGGAGAAAGAAGTAAGTAGAGAACATAAAGACAGTGAAACCAGAAGCAGAAGTCCAACAATTCAAACTTCTTGTAGAAATACTGGGTAGATTTTTACTTTGTATTGGATATAAAATATAAATTTCACCATTTTTTACCCCTAGGTTTTTACCCCAGGTCCCCAGCCTTGAATACAATCAACGCACTGGAGTTCCCAGTTTCCATTCATATTCTCCCCTGCACAGACCTGATGGGCAATAACCAAGATCTGTTCTATTTTCCCTTGATCGCATTATGAGCCAGACTGGATATTTGACATTTTTTTCCTGTTTTCAGAGGCAAAGTCATCTAAATTACTCCTGTGTCTTGCCTAAATATGCTGGGACAAGAGATTAACCTTACGAGACCTTCACAGCTCACTCACATACTAGCTGAATTTGGTCCAGACAACTTCAGTTTACACACTGAGAGCAATCCAATACTCCCCAAGCCATGAGAAAATGTAGAAAGTTAGGCAATAAGCAGCAGATCTGAGAGACAAGTAAAGAAATAGTGAACATAAAAGGAGAAATTAGACATATGGAGTAAGTTGACTGAAGACATTGATATAAACATTGAGTTTCTCTGTTTAGAATCATTATGTGGAAATGAAAGATTTGTATTACGTGCTTTATTGATTATGGCAAGAGGCCTGGCCTTTAAAAAGTGAACTGGAATTGTAAAGGAAGGCTGATTTTAAAATCTTAAAATCGTAACGCTAAACCAAATATGTTGATCTTAGAATAGCATAAAAAGAGAGCTTACATTTTAGGTCTTTACTTTTTCAGGATTCTCCAGTACTTGCTGAAACAGTATTAAAAAAATTAAAATAAAAATCTGTTCTTGTATTTAATTGTTTTCAATATCCCAGAATAGAACACAGAGGACATCTTATGCCAATTTTCTGACAGTCACTTGGCACAGCAGTAAACTCTCACTGGTTTCTGAATAAAACATGTGCCCATCCTGTAGTTCTCAAACTTCACATTATGTCAAGTGCTTGAAATTTAATGGAGAATGTTAACTGCACTCTGTCTGCTTGCCAGGGCTTAAGCTAGTTAAGTAATTTTTAATTCATTTTTGACGACATATTTATTTTTATCTTTGTATTACAGCTGAGGAGACTCTTTAGAAATTCCCATCTCTGAAAAACAACATGGTTGACAGCCTGTATGTGGTCAAGAAAAATAGGGTAAGTGCCTTTTAATACCAGAACAGAAAAAAAGAAGGACCCAACCCTGCTTGGAAAGAAGAGGGAGAAACTGGGACAGAAACAAAAAGTTTGCATTTTCTTTGGGCCCATAGAGACTAGGTGCAGAAGCCAAATATACAAATTCTACAAATCCTAGCCCAACTATAAAGCAAGAAGATTTATTTATTGGGAGTAATGGCAAAAGCAGAATATCCCTCACGGTCTCTTGATCTTCAGCAGCCCCTCAGAAATTCAGTTCTTTCATAACAGAGCTTGACAACAGGCCTAACAAAGACCATTACCCTGTAAATGCAGCGAAAGTTTTGTAAACATTAAAACTCCTACCATCACTTTCTCTACATCCCTCTTTGCTCAACTACCTGTGCGTGGGTCAGAACTTAGATTTGTTAAGAACTTTGAATGTGTTATTGCTACAACCTCAAGGAAAGAGATCACAAAACTTCAGGTCCTACAAGTGCTTCCTTTCATTCTTTTTCTGGTGGGATTTCAGCCAAGGTGACTCCGCTGATTACAATTGCACGGATGTCTTACAAAGAAAGGCACAATTTATACTCACGTACAGATGTCTAGACAACTTTTCAAGGCAATACACAAAAAAATCTTATGGGCAAAGCTAAATCCAGAATTCCCAATACCTACACCTACAACTTTATTCCCATCTAACATTGAAATCTTTACTGTCATATTTGCTTATTAGTATTATTTATGTACAGCTTGATTTTTGCTACATCTTCTAGAAGTTAGTACATTTTTAAGTCCAGAACATTCAGTGTGAACATCCTAAATGTAAGTAAAAATATTCCCAGAAATTATCAATACTACATATAAGTGTAATTGGAATAATTTTGATCTCCATAATCTATTTTCAAAATACAAAGAAAATTACAAGAAAAAGCAATACGCTCATCTACAGGAGCTCCAAATTACTGGGAACCACTCATGGATTACAGAAGCACACAGAGTCTTAACAAGAATGCATCTGAGTCAAAGCATAGGGCAGATCGGATTTACAGTGCTTGATTACAGACTTCTAAGATTTTTAAAACTTTTGGACAGCAAGGCCCTTATAAAGCTTTGTGGAGATGAGTATTGTTTAGGTTGATTTGTTAAATTGATTTGAGGGAGTGAATTCAGATTGAGTGAGGCAAAGTGAAGGTTGTGACAGTATGTCCTCCCTGCTACACCACCTTCCTTCCCTATCAACAATCTCCTTTGACCTGGCCTTGCAGACAGGTGGACAACGAGCAACAGGACTGATAACATTCTTGCTAAGACAGATTAGCAGCTCAAACTTGGGGGTCTAAAAGAACTGATAGCAGACACCTGGTTCAACATCTGAAGATCAACTGAGCATGTGCCTGAAAAGCAACCTGTGACTGTGAGTCAATCACCTTACCCCATAAATAGGAGCAGCAGGTGATCCCCCTTTGACCTTCCCTGTATAGCAGCTAGTTGTGTGGTAGCAGCTTCTCTTGAGCATGGACACCTCTTGTAAGTACACCTCTATAGAAATCCCTTATGTCTTGATGTCAAGATGCTTTGCTCTACCGATCTGCAGAAAGTGACTAATTGTTTTAGGCTTTGTTAGCCTTGTTAAGATTTTGACTGTATGCTTTGTTGGCTTTGCTAAGATTATATCTTAAACTGATGGTGCATGTATAATCTCTTAGATGTAAACACTGGCAAAGTCTAGGGCCAGGAGTAGATTCAGCTCTTACCTTTGTGGTTCAAGCAGTTCAGAAAGCAAGGGGGTCTACTCTGAATAGTATGAGTCTATGGGAGGGCCTCCTACGTATGTTTGCCTTGCTTTCCAAGCAGTGAATGATGAAGTGCATCCAGCCATCCTTAATCTTCAATTGCTGTTAAATCTCTGTTATATCTATATTATGTCAATAAATACATTCTAGCTTCTCTCTTAGGAATGTAGTATAGCATAATTTGTTTCCACCTGTGACAATAAGGTACTTGACTGATGCTATCAGTGATAGAAGGCAGGAGTTGGAAAGGTCTCTTGAAGGAAAGACAATGAAAGTGGGTCTTATACCAGTTGATGGCAGTGTTCTTTGTGTCAGTAAGCTGGAACCTCATGTAGAGCAAGAATACAAACCATCAGGCTTTCTCACTGTCTCAGAGCAACAAGATCTCAGATCAAACAATCAGCAGCGAAGGATAAATAGCATGAAATTCAAACTTTGAATGAAGTTCAGTTTGTATGTTTTTCCCTGAAAAAAATAAACAAGTATGTGCAGTCATGTAAGGAGAGAGGAGTGGTTGGGGAATTAACTATAGAGAGGAGCTGTTTACTTCTTCCTGCAAGCTGAAAGGCAATTACCAATATCACTGTCATTTTTGAAAGTTTACTTTGTCCCAAGGCTGGCACAATCACACTTCTAGAATTTGAGAGCAGTCTAGAGAATTCTTTCATATTAATCCATTTGAATGAGTTTCTAAGGATTCAGCTTCTTCTCCAGCTCTGCGTTCATATTATGCAACATCTTCACAATTTGAGAGACTCAGAAACCCTGGACAAGGTCCCCTACATCTACATTTAAGTTAGCAAAACTTTCTTTAATAATGGAAGAGAGTCAAAACAAGGAAGTAAGTGCTCCACTATTCAATGAATTAGTCAGTTATATTGCACAGAGTGAATTAGGTTGCTTAGACTGGTATGGTATGATATGAAGATTGAAGATATTTGCCTTCATTTAAACAATAAGGCTTTTATTTACATGTTATTTTTCATTTGCCATTTCCTAAAAAGGAAAATACCAAAACAGTATGCTAAATATCTATATAAATATGAGTATGGCAATGAGGCTTTCTAGAAGAGAACACAACCTGGACATTGAAGCACCAGCCCAAGGGAAAAAGGTATTACTCCAGTCTGTAGCTCTGAATAAAACAGGGAATGACAATCCTCACTGTTCTGGAACACCTGGAAGGAAACAGATAAAGCTCTTGATACCAGCAAGTTTAAAAATAGTTTCGTAACGTAACACAACAGACCTATGCTGATGAAATGGGTGATTACTGACAATGACTCAGATGCTAATGCTATAGACTGCATCTCTAAGGCATAGGCAAACATTTAGGCCAAGATAACTTCCAGCTTACTCTTATCACATCAAATTAGCAGTAAAAATTTCCTAGTGATTCTTTTGCAAAAAGTAGAAAATATGAATCTGAGGGAGATAAGTAACTTTGGATTAAAAAAAAAAAACAAACTCTTTCAAGGAGGTTGTTGGAAGGAATATGTGGACTGGACAAGACTCCAGAATATTCTTACTCTTCTTGTTGTTTTTACTTAATGTCTTGAAGAGTGAACATTCTTACATAAGGGAATATTACATTACATAAGGGAATAAAAGTCATTCATGCTACCTTGTCCCGGAGAATTTTATGGATGGGGAAGAAGTCTGACAACTTGAGATCTTATTGCATGAGGTAATATTTCAAAGTCTGATCAAGTAGTAAAGAGCAGCAAAAGTGGGAAAGAAGAAATAATACAAACTGCAATACTCACAGCTATGCACAGGAATAGTTTGTACTTACTTATTCATACTGAAATCAAGGCTATCGTTCCATCAAAAATAACCTTAAGAGTTCTGAATCATAGAAGCTGAAGAGTTTTTTTGATTATGAGACCCAGCCAAGTCTTCAAGCTTATTGTGTTTGGGAACAATGTCTACTGGGAAATGCTGCAAGTATGTGGATGGAGCACGTGATTAAAGAAAAAAAAATCTAATTCACAGTAAAGTATTACAGGTCATCTGAGCTGAACATTTTACTTGTCCTGTTTTCAAGTACTGTCACTTTTCCTTCATCTTTGTTTGCTGGTAGGAAAGAATAGAAGTTTAATATAATGGGTTTTCTTTCCAACTTCAAATACAGTTGTCCCCTGAAGTAGTGAGTCACAATAGTTAATATGTTAATGCACAAGCTGCTGCTTATTCATGCACCATGTCATAAAATGATGATACTTCTCACACCTTCAGAAAGGAAGGAGTGATTCTCCTACGAACATAGGATCCTTCATTGAGACCAGTGATCCTAAAATTCATAGAACAAAATGATGTTGTCCACGTCAGTGAGATGTCATTTGTTTTTTCTTATGATATCATTAAGACAAGCACCAAAACTGCTCATTAAGTGCAATCAAGTGGCTGTCCTACCCAAGTAATTACATCATTGCAAAACTGTTAAGAATAGAAATCTTGATGAAGATGGAAGAAAGCACTGAATGGTTGCAGTGTTGCCAATCTTTTACTGTCATCTCTACTGACACAGGAAAGGATTTGAAAGGCAAATTTTGAAACGGCAAAAATACAACTCATAGTTTTAGCACAGTATCTCCTACATAGAGATCTTGAAATTTACTTGAACAGTTTACTCTAAAATTCTAGGGGAATTTTAAAGATGGAAGGCTTGACTGCTTTTTCTAGACTTCAGTCACATATTCTTTCCTTTGGAAACACATGTGCAAGGCACCTGAATTCCAGAGATTCCCAAACTACCTTCAGACAGCATAGGAAAACTCAGTTTGATGCTGAGATGAAATATTGTCCCGAGTCCTAAAAGAAAAGCTACTCTAGAGCAGTGCCATACACTGGCAGTGTACTCCATGGGTGTAACTAAGATATTTTTTGTCCTTGGTTGGCATGGCTTGTCACTTCTGACTGTGGGAGATCTGTGGTGGGTTGTCTGCCTTGGGTAGGGTTATCAGGACTTTTTCATGTTGTAAAACTACAACAAGGAGTGAACTGTTAACAACCGAAGTGCTGTCTTCCTCTTCTAGTAGATAGCATCACAGTAACATTCCCCATTTTCTATGACATTCTAAATATGGTTGTATTACATTCTAGATAACATGGATGGAGATAAAATTCCCACTGAACATACAAGCAGGCTAACCAACATAAAAGAATGTAGAAAATTGCTGATCAAAAGCTCTTCATGTGGTATGAAGATCTGAATGTCGTCTTCGGTAGCTGAGTAAGGAAAAAGATCAGGAATTTCAGTTTTTGAATGTAATGAGATCTAGTTCTACATTTTATTATAGGTATTGTCAGTAGGACTTACACAGCATAGAATAAGAATTAGACATTAGATATCAGAAGGTGAACATTTTATGGAATATCTACTTTAGAAGTCTTATAAAATATTTTTTTCATGATGCTAATAACTTTTAGAGCTGATATATTTCTCCTTTGAAGTTATAGACTCTTCTAATAATACTCAAACGCAGCATGTAGAACCAAGATGATAGTGCTGCAAGTTTAAATGAAATCAGATTAATTATAAAATTTAGTTATTTGAATTAGAAGGAAAATAAAAATAAAGAAAACACCCACGCCTCCATGAGATTTGATGTGAGAACAACTTGTATGAAACAGTTATAATCTGATAATCAGTATTACGTATAGCACAGCATTTACTTTTATAGGTCCTATCCAGAGAATATTGCAATAAATAATAAATCTGAAGACTAAATATCATGTTGTATTTCAGCCTTAAATACATAAAGACCAAAACCCACTGATAATGGTAGCAATACAGACAGAAAGTTTCTGTTTAAAGGTGAATGGCAATCAGTGGAGACTTCTTGAAATGCATAGGTATGAGTAAATCAATAGGAAAATTCTCAATCCATTATTTTCTAAATGAAGTTTGATCTGTGCCAGTTATACTTTATGTCGATCTATACAGGGTTATGCTATGTAAATACAAATAGAATTTAATGAGCTATTTGTTTTCCATTTACTAAGTGGAGTTTTGTGAGATACCACCTAGGAATAGTGCACTGGGAACTGTGACAATAGAGACCGAGGCTCTGCTTAGGTTTAATCAGCTGCAAAATACAGAAAAAAAATGAAACCATTTAAAATGGGTAGGAACAAGAATGTGAAAAGCATCTGAACTCTCATACTTCTATAGTTGCGTTGCTTCTACCTACTTTGCATCCCTTTCACTATTTCCATATTGCATTTCAAGCAGCAGAGGAACCAGATTATTCTATAAAAAAAAAAAGGAAAAGAAAAGAAAATCTTTCATCTCAACAGATCATGGTTTAGATTCAGCCTTCGTTATTCCAGATGATTCGTTTGTGTCTGAGAGAGGTGTGAGGTGCAATTTGGTGGTGCTGGCTGGTTTAGATGCTTTTAACCACTCCCTTAATTTAATATCAATACTGTCATAAAATAACTCTCCTACTATCAGTCTTAAAGCAGAGATCAGCTTACACAGCGTTTAAGCAATTCCCTTAACATGGCATAAGAATCTTGTCAGTCAAACTGAAGCAAAACAGAAGAAACTTGTAATGCACCTCTTGTATCATTGCAGACTTCCCCATACTTGAATTCAGAGGCCAATACACCTATAATTTCACAAGCATTAAATTCATTTTTGAAATGTTCAAAAATGAATTTTGAAACATGAATGTTTGAAATTCATGTTTGAAATGCAGAGCGAGTTTTTTCCTTTTTTTTTTTTTCCAGTTTCAAAAAGGAAGTTGTTAGTGGCCTGAGACCTTACATGCTAAGGTTTGTTTCAAAATATATTTTATGGTTGAGTTATTGCAGATCATTTGAATTAAGGATTTATAATGGAATTGCTGACACAACCTTAACTCTAGTTTTTTTGAATGACATCATTTATAATTATGAGAATTTAATGATTTCAGCTTTAGCTGAACTGATTGAGAGTGTAAGCAAACAACCACCAGCAGTGAGTGAGAAGAAAGTAGTAGCAGAGCTGGGTAAATACACTCATAGGAACCTGAAGGAAATTTCAATAGGAAAAAAAAAAAATCAAGAATATTTCAGACTATAAATAAGTACCATCTTAACTTCCTTTTTGAGTGAAACAGAATAGTCACGATACCATTACACAGTCCTCCTCTTCCTTTATATAAAAAGCATTTGAGAACATCCAGAGAGACACAGGATGTGTTTAAACTAGAGACCGACGAGTGACTCATCAATAAGATAAAAATAAATTTAAACTGAGAAACGGGAGCTGAGAGAAATGAGCTTAGTAGTGAATAGGAGACAGAAAAATTAAGAGGAAAAAATAATTAAAGGAAATAAGTAGTACTGTTACCAAACATGTATTTCCCTTCTAGCATTCCTATGCCAAATAATAGCTTGAATGTTGCAGAATGCTGTTAAATTTAAAAGTCAATATACGGTTTATCCTGTTGTGTTTTGTCTTGATTTTTTCACTTAGTTAATCAGTGGAAATCTTGAATATCAACAGATTGCACAGTAGGACTCATCACATCTTCTCTCTCTTAATTCAGTATCCAATTGATCCAACTCATTCTAGATCAGGATCTTTCCAGTTAGTCACAAAATTTGAATAAGTGGCCTTCTATGACTTTGAGAAAGAAATGGAAAAGTGCTGCACTGAAAACACTGTCACACAGTGTCACAGTACTACTCTTATTTGTGCACTTGTCTTTAGTGTAAAGGTAGGTCCATATGAGGTCTACAAATAACTTCAGTGTTGTCAGTGTGAGTGAAACAGCAAAACATAAAAATGAAGATACGCTGAAGAGCTGTGTAAATTCCATAACTAGAGCTGAAGCCAGGATACAAATACAAATGTTAGCATCTCTTGAATTTGAGCAAAGCAGAAACCAGAAAGCTCATAGCAGTATTTCAGTGACAGCTTGGGGAATCAGAGCACAGTTGGTATAAAACCTGACTTATCAGCTGAAGAAGTAAATGACACTCATGATTATTGTTCTTTTAAGGGAAGAGAAAACAAAATGCTATCTGCATTTAGGTGTTCACTATACTGGTACTGATGTGAACACAATAAGTAAGGATCAGGTTTTTGTACATTCGGTTTGCTGACTTATTTATCACTTAATTTTCTTCTATTATTTCTAAGCAAAAATACAAGAAGAAGCTTCTAATTCAAATCCATTTTTAGTATATCACACAAAACTGCAATGAAAGGACTCTTGGAGCCCCTTTGACATGTCTCTAGGTTACTCAGAAATACTTCAGATACATATGGCAAAAAGATTCATACCTAGACAAGAAAAATAAATTCATGATTGTTACGATTTTTCAGTTTTAGATTTTTACTCCCTGGAAATTTTTACAAGTATCCAGTTTATTGCCTCTTGTTTTTACTCTGAATACAGCTAAGGGATCTGCTTAGTGAATCTTGTGTACTCATTTCAAAAGTGAAGTTCACGCAGAGACTTGTGTCAAAAGAAATAAAAAATGCAAGTGTTGACCAATGTATTGATTTCAATTCTTATATGCATCTTTGACCAGTACTCTCAGAAATTTGTTTCTAGTGAAAAACAAGTTAGTGATGTTGTTTGATTTAATTTCAGTCACATAATTTTCCATTTTAACTGTGCAGATACCTCTTTTGTGACGTATCTGTCTGCAATTTCACATTTCCTCTTCTTGCTTTCAGTTAAGCATTTAACATGTCTAATGCTTTCAAGAATTCTTCTCAAATAATATCACCTTCTTGGAGAATACAGTGTATGTATTCATACTTGGTAGACCAAATAGCTTTTTTCCAACTTTTTTTTTTCCTTTTCAATACTCTCCAAAAAGTTTTACATAAGCCTGACAAATAAATGTGTGCAATATACCTTGCTGGTTATTTCAACAGATATCCCAATCTTCTTAGATCATTGGGGAATTACACTACTGATGGTTCCCCAGAGGCTTTTAGCACTTGATTTCTGGTCTTCAGACCAGAGAGTTGTATCATTGACTTCAATGATTGTAGTGTCAAATCTAAGCAAAGCCTACTTCTGCACCTACTTGGGCAGAAAAGGCTTCACCCTAAAAATATTCATGCAAGCTGTTTCCTAACTCTGGAAATCCCTAAACTCTACGATTCTTCATCAAAGCGCTTTATATCCACAGTTTTTATTTTTTTCTACATACTACAGCATCTTAGTATTGACCAGGCTGACTACAGGCATCTGTCTCATATCTAAATTTAATCAGAATCAAAAATTAGATTTCTCTGCTGCCTTTGTCAGTTCTAGCCTTTATTACAAAGACAATCGATATATTTTGCTGTGGGAGATACAGGATAATACTTAAAAGCTGTTCTCAGAACAGGCATGGAAGATAGTACTTTGCCAGGTTGATTGCTTTGAACTGTGAGGCCATAGAGGCTTCTCTTGCTCCACCTGAGTGATCTATTGCACCTTGAATTCTACCCTACTCAGTGGATTAGGTGCAACAAAAGTCAATGACGTGTAAGTAGAAATTCACTCATCTTTTACCTCCTGATTTCTTAGATTAATTGAAACATGCATATCTGAGTTAAAACTGGATCTGGCTACAGTGATGGAGTAAAGCTAGAGCTATGTTTTAACTGTGAGGAGTGTTCAGTACTGAAGTGCTAGCTGAACTGATGCCACTCAGGAACTGTACTGAGGAGAGACGAGTTGAAAGGATAAGCCAGGTAACCACTTTCTATTTCTAGTTCTACAATAATTGTCTACTGAAATAAGTCCCTGAGTACTAATTGATAACATATTTATTGTTGAAATGATTTTTGTTCATTTTCATCACATTTGAAACAAAAAGTAGATGAGATTACATGTGTTGCAATAATTTGATAACGTAGTGAAGACTTGCTTTCCTTTATTTTTCTTAATTATTCTTTCTTGATTAAAAATACTAGTTCTATCCTGTTTCTTAATGAAATTGAGTTCTTCATTTTCATAAGATTGCTATATCATACTGTGATATACAGATTATAGAAGTATGTAAAATTGTATATGAACTATATGTAATATATATACAGAGGGGTTATATATTAAATATAGTCTTTCTCAAATTCGTCATTCTAAGATTAAAATTTCCTTTTTGCCTATTCCTGTACTAGGTAAATGCTATGTTAATCTACTATAGGAGAAATTGATAGTGGCAGTAATTCAAAGCAATCAAAAGAAAAATAATACAGTAAAGAAACATAATATAATCATTGCTTCTCAAACTGTTCAAGGTATTTAAAATATTTGTATTAAAATGTTAGCATTTACAATACTGTATTAGATATCTAATTTAAATATTTATAAATACTTAATGTTTAATGCTTAGTTAATATATTTAATATTTAATTTGAGTATTTGCTGATCAGCATGCTGAGTATGCAGAAATTTGTCTCATATTTTCCTGGGGTAAATATTTAATTTGGTTTCTTTCTTTCCTTTCTCAGATTCTAAGGCTTCAAATGGAAAATACGCACCCAAATTTAAATTACAAAACCAGAAAAAAAGAGCTACCTATATTTTCACCAGAAATGCTTCTATGTAAAATTCTGCTTCAGGGCCTGGCTAGTTATTGCTGAAGTTTGAACAGATAGACTCTTCAGCTTCCTTTACCTGCATTCAGCTCAGGGTGTGAAGAAAGCCCCCTCCCAGCCCTTGTCACAAGGAGCAAGTAACATAAATTGCATCAGCACTGACTGGAGCCAAGAAGGAAATGTGGTCTGATCTCAGATGAGTGCCCTAACCATTACACTATAGATTCTCTCTGGTCCAGTGATTTTAATTATTCCATTTGAAAGCCAAGCAGGAGGTAGAGAGAATGCCTTGTGCCAAAGTTGGCAGGAGTATGCTGTCTGCTGCACTTTGCCATCGGGCTGCTTGCAGCCTCTCAAGCACGTGGGTGATTGCATTCCTTCTATTCTCAGTTCTCTAAGTCTCCTCTTATGGAGAAACCTTGAGCATCTAATTCTGTTCTTCAGATGCAGAACGAACATACTTGCTGGACTTGCTATTCCATAAGATAAGATCCCATGTTTAAAATATCTCTACTCTTTACACAACTTGAGGTTTCCATGGCCTGCACAGAAAGGTCAGGTAATATACCAACACTGTAGCGAGTGTGACTATGAAGAGAAAAGGGAAAAACAGAGAAAATGAAAGCAGTAGTAGTAAAGTCTCAACATTACTCAACATCAAACTAGCTATATAAACTTGCTGATATGTTTTGTTATATTTTTTTTTTTTTTAGCACTTGAGACTCCCATGACGGCCATCTGCTTCTGTTGCATTTCCTGAAAGCTGTTTGTTCCAAGAAACACGAGTGTGAATGACAGTTTTTACATATTTATTCAAGGAAATTAGTAGAATAAGTATAATTAGTAGAATAAGCATAATCCATGTTCCCAAGCTTGTTGGATAAGTGATGCCAGAGAGCAAACTTAAAACACAGGACAGTTTACAGTTCTTTTAATACATGGCAGCAAAGACTCATTAGAATTCTTGCGCTGTTTCTGCTTTTCAAATGTATGTAAACTGTAAAAATGGATGATAGACAAGCTTTACATCTTGGGTAATGTGTGATTAAATTATAGCCATTTAAACTAAAATACATGAAGATTATCACTTGGGGATGTTGTTTGCTAAAAACGTCCTCTCTACTTTCAGAGCTATCTGTGCTTAGTCTGAAATGCATAATACGTTCATGTCCTTTACCCAAAGCATACAGTTCCTGCTGTAGAACACAATAACCAGGATGATAGATCGCATAGGTGAGGAACCACAACCAGTTTGCAAATAAATAGAAGCAATAGGAATGTATTTTCCAGAGAGACACGCAGTTCACAGCCCTTTGTCTGAAGGAGATGGTGAAAGTTGGAATGTCAAACATGTCTCTTCCCCAAGAACTGGGATTTCAACAGAATATAAAATGTGTTTACATATTCGTCTGGAAAACCTCACAAAGAATACTGCTGGATCTTCAAAGCTGTGCTGTAACAATTATTCAATCTAGATATTAGAGCATTGTTTTGACAACTTTTCTTTTCTGCTGTGAAGCCAGACGAAGGAAGTGCTGTGTCACAATTCAAAACTGAACTGAGAAATACAGATTATCCTTCCAGTTTGTTTGAAATCTGTGAGTGACATGTAAGTAGAATGTTTTAATTAAGAGCTCTACCTTAGCAGTGCTATTAACAAATGCCACATAAAGCATTTATGGAAAATCAAATTAAAGCTATTACACTCTCTTATCCAGAGAGCCCTCTCCTCAGCAATTTCTAATCCTTCCTCTTATGGGCATAAAATTTTTACCTTTGCACACCTCTGGGTAGGTAGAGATACACTGAGATAATGACATTACATCAATTTTGGATTAAAGTCTGTCCTTCCTTTGGACTGTCATGTTTACAGCATTTCCTACTTTTTATCATAGTTCACTTGGGGAACAAGGACAACTTCTGTTCTGATCTAGGACTTCATGCATACCTTTGAGCCAGATTGTGCACCTCCCTTCTGAGTTGATCATAACCCTGAAGAAAGAGCAAAAGCTACTACCTTGCACGAAAGTATTTTTTTTTGCCTGTGTTTATGGAGATGGTATGTTGGTAATCCTCAATTTGTGCGATGTTATTTGTATGCTTAAAATATGGGACGTATATTAAATTGAGCTCTCTACGACTACACAAAAAAAAAAATCAGTCTGTCTGACATCTCTAAATATCAGACTGCAGTAACATTTTATTTTCCATCTAAACATGTATTTAAATACAGGGAGCCTGGCTTCTTTCCAGCACTCGTTTTTATTAAAGCCAGCTGTGAAGCAATTATTGAATACACTAAAAATGGCTCTTGAGAGTAGGACAATATGAGTTTTGTCCAATATTGATTAACACATTGAGTTTTGACTAAATACAACATTTTAATAGCTCACTCTGCTTTGAAGTAGAATATCTGAGAAACTTAAGGAACATAATTTCTGAGAACTGCGTGGATCTAGGTCAAGGGCTGACTGCAACAGAAAGTACTGACATAACTGAGTATGCTTTTTCCTAAATAAATAATGTGCTTTCAATTACCAATAAAGGCAAAATAATGGAGAAAGCACAAACAAGGCAATTCAGCTTGACAATGTGCAATGGAAAATACAATCTATATTGCACATGCATATTATATACAAATACAATTTATATGATTTTTCAGTCTTATTTTATGGATAATAAGTAGATTGTAAATCATAAGTAGATAATAAGTAGAATGTCTCCTTTCTTTCAGATTTGTAACCCAGTCATTCTGACAGAGATGTGAAGTATTTCTGATGGATTTCCCACTTTCTGTATGCTCTTCAGGCACACGTGGATGTGTATTTTTTACCATACGAATTTCTCATGTTTGCACAAACACCTGAGACATTCAGATAACATATAAATGACAAATAACTGTATCTAGGAGGACTAGGGTCTGATTTTAACTTCTTTGTAGTTATTCATATTTTCAAAAAACTAAAATTCACTATTCTAGCAGTAAGACTCTATCTGATTCTCCATTTGCATACTAATGCACAAAAGTATTTAAATTCCTACAGATATCTGTTGCTGGCTTGATGCAGCCCAGCTGCTCCCTGTTAAAAATGGTGATTAGAAATTAATATAGCTATCCCATGCATTCACAGCTTGAGATTTGTAATATATAAAGAACAATCATTCCTAAAGGGGCCTTGCTTGTGAATGCTGTATTTAATTAATGCCCAAGGGAAAGAGCAGAAGAGGAGGAGGAAAAACACTGCAGCTGAATTTATTCTGCAATTGTAGCGACGTTAAACACTGCATGCCAGATTTAATGGCATGTATTCATCTAGCTAGCAGAGTGCCTTACTCAGAACAAATGGTGCTGTCTGCCTTGAGGAGACGAGGATTTTGATATGAATTTAGGAGTGTGGAGTAGATTTCCATTTGATTTTCTCTATTGACTTATGCCAGGTCTGCCATCACAAACACCCAAGCTCCTCCACATACACAGTTAGCTTTGTGCCTGGGATATAAAGTTTTTTTTTTTTTCACTTGTAGTGTGTCTTTAGCTTTGTGATGAGGAGGAAGCCATACAGCAGCAATCTGTGTGAGTCGTACCAGTCATTTAAGTTGAGACTGACACTTTCTTTTAGTGCCTGGCTGCTACTAGTATGTGTAAGAAGGTGCCTGCAACAGCTACAGAAAGATCAAACGCACTAAAGTAAAAGACTGGAATCCTCATGTGCATCCTGAAGAAATGGCTCTGCATTAAAAGCAAAGATTTGAATATTGCTGCAGAGATTAAAAATGTTAAAAAATATACATATAAAACACCAACAAAATGCTAACGTACCATATAAATTTTTATTGGTACATTAGAAAGCACTTTCATGAACATCAAAGATTACCCACTGAGATAATCCCAAAACAGGCTCTGCTTGGACTAGAATTTGCAATGGAAAGAACACAAGAAGACCACAGTAAGATCAGGTCAGATCCAACCTGCCCAGATGCATCTGCAGTTTGGTAAACCAGAAGTGAAGCTCCAGATAAAATTGGTAGGTGTTCAGAAATAACATCTTGTGTCCACTGCCTCTTTGTCCTAGCCCTAGACATGTCCAAAAAGAGCTGCATCTGTTTTCTTTCCATTCACCTTTCAGATATTTGTACATATTGATAAGATCCTCCCTACTGTTGTTGGTTTTTTTTGTTGTTGTTGCTCATTATTTTTTCAAAGCTTGTCTGCTAATTGAGACTTAAACAGAACACTAATCACAAAGGTTCTTTCATCTGAGCAAGAGCATATTTTATTGAAGTATGTTATAATTATGAGCATACAGGCCCAAATATGTATTTCTGATCACACTGGTAAAAACTTCTCTCCATAAACAAGGAGAGATAATGTCCATACAGCTATTGCAGCAATAATATTTCAATATATAGATACAAAAAGAGTAGCATATGTTAAACATCAGACTAAACTGTTGTGCTATTTAACCTTCATCTTTTAAACTATGAATAACGTAAGCACACAATGGGAAACTGCTAGGGATAAAACAATACAAAGAGAGAGATCAAGACAAGAAGGCATCTCCCATGCCTAAGCCCAGAGCTCCTGATGCTGAGACCTTTCCTCTGTTTCTTCCCATCCATGCCTGCTGTGGACTTCTTGGGCCAGGTAGGAGCACTGAAGGGTAGTGCCCATTGAGGGCTCCTCCCAGCCTAAATTTTTGCTTTTTCCCATATGCAAAACTGAGCAGTAGCTCTCCCATTTGAAAGGGGCACCCAACATTGTGCAGGGCAGTGGAGATAGCCCAAGAGTTACAGACAGTTCCATGGCCTTCTGCCATGGTGGGGGGCAACTTCTCCCTGTGGCCTTCAGCCTGCATAGTCTTTAGGCCATCCATATTAAATGGCTGAACTATGGGTAGTCAGTGTAGCAGTGGGCACATCTGGAAGACTCTTTTCCTGAGGCCATGTATTTCTGCTCACAACAGAGCAGCCTCAGTGTCTGGCTTCTTGCAAGCTGCAGTGACTGAATCTTACTGCTAGGTTGCAGTACATTTATTTGTAGGTGTCATGCCAAGACTTTTGTCTTTTGTGCATAATTTTAGAGCACGTGTACATGAACACTATTCAGTCTGAAGCAATGCTGTGGTGTTGGTTCTTCTCCCTGTTTGTGAATGTTATGGTAAGTTTGCTTTCCATCTCAAGATGCATTTACACTCTAGCTAAATCATTCCTTTAGTTGTTTCAGGACTTCCAAGCTAGTTTCAAATTTCTGCTTCAAGATTAATGCAAAGATAGCATGGGGTGACATTCAGCTTCAGGCAAATTATCTGTGCCGTAGAGCTCAAGATAAAATACCTGTGTGCATCCTTATCAAGGATCCCTTCCACAGCCCAGAGCCTGCGCTGAGCTCTGCATTCCCTCAGATTCACTTGTTGTCTTTGTGAGCTGCACTTGCATCTTAGCTGCGATATAAAAATATCCTCAGTGTCAGCTTTCAGAAGCCATCTGCTTCCTGCAGTAGAGAATGAGTGTTTGGGATCCGGATTCTTGAGAGTAGTTATTTTCACGCAGTGGTCATTACTTCTCTTCACTACTTAAGTTTGTGGGCTGCTGTTAGATTTCTTGCCCTTCTGAAAAAAAGCTTGATTTTTTTTTTTTTCCTCCTGTTTCTCTTTCAACAAAACTGCTAACTCACAAGCCATGATGTGCTGTGGTGTAGCAGACGGTGCTGTGATTCATTCAGACAATAACACTGACAGTCACTCAAGAAAGCAAATGGAGGAATGCTCTTTGTGCCTGGGATTCCAGGTCTTGTATCTCAAAGACCTTTGAAGCTTCAGGTCTAGTTATACCACAAAGTAACTCTGATATTTTTCATTTGCTTTTGGTTAGCTAGCATTAGCAGTTTTCATAATATATCAAAACTAAAACAATGTCTTAGCAGTGCTATAGAAGTGTCAGAAGGGAGGCTTATCACCACGAGCAAGAAAAAAAAAAGTTCTGACAGCCACTTAGAAAAGAGAGCAGATAGCTATATTTAATTTCTGAAAGTCTCAGTTGTGACGTCACCCTCAAATAACCATAACACAGCAGCAATGAGATATGCAAGCTTAAAGTACAATCAAACCATTTCTGGACTTACATTATTTGTGTTCTGCATTTGTCCTGTGTTAGAAATTAATAACTTTCTGGCAGCTTTCAGAGGAAGATTTCCCCGTTTTTCTGAGATATGTACCATCTTGCATAGAGATACTGCATTAGGAAATGGCAAAATCCCTTTGAAATTCAATGTTTCCTGAAAAAGGAAAAGCAAATAGTTCTGGTAGAAGAACAATAATGTAATAGAAAGAGTTTATATTCTCTGCAGGGAATGCAAAAACAAATAAAGTGCTTTACATCTCGTGTTTTTTTAACCTTTTTCTTAAAAAGCAGTAAGACATCTGTTATATTCTACCTGTCTATTAAAATTATGAAATCTGGTCTTGAAAGAGGCCATTGTCATTCCAAGACCACTTTTGCAATTCCTGATCTAACATCACTCACAAGGAGAAGGAAGCCATTCCATATCTACAGAACTCCTTTTTTTCTGTATCAACCACTTTGTTCTCTAGGCTTCGAAAGAAATAGAACAGGCAACTACACCACTGAGACTGAGAGCTGGACTCCCTTACTCAAAATGTTATTAGGAAAAGTAAGCTATTGGTACTTCCTAAACGTACTGGGAGGTTAGGTGATATTTGTGCAATTGCTGTTTATAGGTTGTGTACTCTACTCATCTTCTGCCATATCAGAATGTATCTCAAAAGAACTGTTCAGTAATTGTGGGTCATTTGTATAGACTGTGAAATGCTATGTTTACTTGCTTTTCTGTATTCTTATGTGATTTAAATGTTACTTTCCTGTTGGTTCATCAACATTCATAGCCAAAAGTACAGGAATTTGATATGACACAATATGGCTAAGTGTAATAGAAAATACACCTCTGCATTAAAACTCTTCCAAACAGAAACAAGCTATTTTTCAGCACACAAATATGTTCTCAAAAGAAAGTAAGAATAAAAAAAAAGAAGAAGGAAAAAGAAAGAAGAAAGTTGAACAGCTTTTAGCTTCGACCTTCTAATCACGAGGTTCATAGAAACAGCAGATGCTGATGTAAGCTCATGTTAAGGAGATGTTGATTTAAGCTCACCTGCCATTTTCTAAGTCTTCCCAGAGAGGATATAAATATGTATTATTGTCACTAGGTGATTGTATGAAGTTGCATCTACATGCTTAGATGCTAGTATCTTATTAATCTGTTCAAAGGAAGCGTAGCATGAGCAGATGAGAGGAATTTCTGAGGGTTCTCCAATGCAACAGGATTGGGCATTCTCACACTTCCATAAAAAAAAAGCAGAGCAAGTGACATTTCTGAACTAAAAGGTATCACTCAGGAAAGAAATTAAAGGGCTGATACTTGATTAATTTGTGCGTTCTACTCTCTTTTTAGTATTTCTTGTGTAGGAATGCCTACATGTTTTCCTTTTTGAAAAGGGGCAATTTGGCTGATTAAACCAGGCTGCACTTTAAATACGCAACCGGTTACCACAGCAACAGTTTTACTTTGACACACAGCTTATCCTCTTTTAAGTGGTGCAGCCTGTTGTTATGGCAATTTGGAATGCCACTATTTTTTCCTCCCAAAGTAGCATTACACAAGATAATAAGCCCCCCAGTTAAAATGAGTTCAGTAATTAAAAAGCTGGAGTTGATTTAAAATCGTGTAGAATGGTGTCGTTTCTCACATTTAAGAAGCTAAACTTGACAGGAACAGAAAAAAAAAAAAAAAAGAATCAGAGTTCATGAAGAAATAAAAATAAAGGATTCTATTTTACACCACTGAAGGCAAGGGTATATTGTAGATGCATTTTTTAACAGATGAATCTTCTAGTGAATTTATTAATTCACTATGTTTTCTCCTTCATGGAAAAACACATTACTTCCTGTTTTGCAGATTTCTTGAGGAGACAAGTCTAAATAAATCATCCCCTAAAGCTCTTAATCTTACAAGCAGAACGATTATTCCTACTGAAATTTCATTAACAGTAATAGTAAATGATCAGGCTTCTGCTCTATAACAAATATTTTCCCAAAAAAAAAAAGAAAAAGAAAAAAGAAAGAAGGAAAAAAAACCACCACCACAAAACACCATTGCTTAAGTATCCTAAGTGTATGGACCTCTTCCTGATGCCACAAACACTTTGCATTAGATGCTAAGGGATCACAGACCACCAGCTTCCCTATTTGAAATAGGAGTGAATTCCAGCCCCGCTGCCACAGACGTGTTGAAAGAATCCCTAAACTTTGACCTGCAGAAATATTCAATTCATGCTTAAGCAAGAGCTGCAGTGGTACTGGAAATGGAGAGAGATCTGAGAGGCTCCCAACTATCCAAAGCCTGGGAACAAAAAAAAAATGTACAAGAAACTTCAATCCAATTATCCAGTCCCAAATAAAAATAGCAGAAGAGCTCTCTGCGTGAGGCAAGCTCAGCTTCAGTGCACCTGCTGGAGCTGAAGTAATTGTCTGATTAAGTAGTTATACCATTTTGAAGGAAAAAACTGGCTTTCATTTATGAATTTCTCAAGTTCCGAAACAGATGAATATTAGTCCTATTTCTTCTTCCTTTCTTATAGAAAAATATTCAAGACTTGCCAAGGAAAGGTGGTCAGCAGAAAGACAAAGATTCCAGATACATCTGCATCCTCCTTTCATCCTCTTCAGTTTTTCCCCACGCCTCCTCAACTCACAGACTCTTTACATTGCAGAATGTCTTCAGCAGAATCTAGGAAGGACAAATCCCTTTCTGCCATCTGTTACCAAATACAAGAATGTAATCTTTTCTGCAAGGGTGCCATCCTGGCATTTCATTCCTGTTTGATATGCAGCATAACTTTGTTCAAGTCTTTTTCAAAAAACGTTTTAATTTGTTTATTGATTTAACGGAATGGTTCAACTCTTTCAGTATTCTGTCCCCAATAACACCAACAGCTTTTTGGTTGTGTGTCCTATGTACATATGTTGGCTCATGTGCAACAGACAGTGCAATAGTCTTCAGTGGGATTTCTAACTTTCTTCTCTGCCAGATTTACTGACAGCATTCCGTGGTCTTTTGTCCTCATTAAAGAATTTAATTTAGATTAAAATTTCCCAGTGTCATAGACAGATTCTCAGTACTTGGGAAGATACTGACTTAAATTTCTACTGCAAATTAGAGATTTGAAATTTGATAACAGAAAAATGTTTCTGTAGAAGAAAAGACCTGATCCATTGCAAATATAAGTATATAACCACGTTATATACTTATGATTTTGTGGTTGTTTACATACATCTCCTTTTGAAGTGCTTAGATCTCCCTCTATTTGTTATAAGACAATGGGAGTTAAATTTGAGAGTTAAATGTTGCCTATCTCTTTTTATAAT